AACGATGTATACTTTATTATATACAAATCAAAATAAAGAAATGATGTTTACCTACTGGGGAAACCCAAAAAAAAAAATAATAATAATTTTTTAATAATACAATAAACATGTTATTTAATTTTCAAAGCAAAAAAAACAAAAATACAAATTAAATTAGTTTTTGAATTTTAAATGAGATTATATAAACAAGAAATAATATTTTAAATTTGATTCATGAATTGATAATCATTGTTTAAATAAAAAAAATGTTATTGAGAAAATTAATGATTCAATATATATTTTTTATATTTCAAATTGATAATGTGAAAAATAATGATTTTTATTGATTGCACTTTTTTTTAAAATAAAAAAAATATAATAAATAATACATGATTTAGAAATTTTCAAAAAAAATTAAAAAAATTAACTGGTTTCATATACTGTATTTTATATTTTTTTAAACTGTAAATTGGCTTAAAAAATAAAATTTACGTATTATAATTCGCAATTACATTTAAATACGTACAGTATATACAGTATTTATAAATGCCAATCCATAGTAAAATAGAATGTCTTTGAAATTTGATCAAATAAGGTTAACGAAGTAACCGTTTCATTATGAGATTCATCATTTTTATATAATCAACGGTGCTCTCGGCACCATACAGCAATATTAATGACGGAGTTCTTTCTCCTTAGCGGATGAAAATGAATGAAATGTGTATTTGGATAGGGGGATAGGGGAAGGTTTGTTGATTGCCGATCGTAGCTTAATTAATCGTCGAAAACGATCGACTCTGTCAGTTGGCGAGTGGAATTTCGAAAACTACTCTGGTTTCCTATTGCAAAATGAATAGTGACCAATTAGTGATACATGAGATGTTTGCCTGTTGCATGTTCCTCACTCCATACTTATATTGTCACTTCCACTCAGAGCACATTCTTAATTTCGATCGTATAACCCAATAATTATTTTTTTCTAATTTTGGTCATAGGTTGTACGTAAAAGGAGTTGCAAATAAAATGACGCATGTGAATCAATTTGCGCGAATAGAAATTGCGCAGATAAAGTTAGAATTAAATACAAAAAAAAAGAAAAAGAAATGTGCCATACACGTCGAGTGGCAAAGCAAAAACCATCGATCCGAATTTGATCGAACTAGTAATTACGGAAAATGAGGAAGAAATAATAAAAAGAGAAATTTAGAAGCATGATTCAAACTTATTTTTGCAAATTATTGCTAAAAATCGTGAACAGCATAAACTTAAAATTTCTTCTTACTTTGTGAATACAGATTAAAAATTAGCAATAAAGAGATAATCCACGTGCACAAACCATTTTCACATTTATTGAAATCTCAGCCCAACCAGAATCTTGACTACAGTGAAAATGACTTAATGTTAGGACGCACGCGGCGCGCATTCACAGCTACCAAAATGCATAAGATTGCAAATGTCTCTCGTCGGTTCCTCCGAAATTTGATTAAGTGAAAAATAACTTTGCACATAAATGGGTCACACGTATTGTTGTAGGTGTCGTGTACATACGTAAATTCACAAGAGCGCATACATAAGATAGCTTAGTTATTTCATTATCAACATTTTTTTTTTTTTTTTTTTTTAAAAGCTATCAAAAAAGTATTATCAAAATACTGCAAGCAATATCGTATCGAGAAAATCTTACTAATTCCAGAGACATCATTGTGTCAACAATGGTGGTATTAAATAATTTTTTTCGACAATACAAAGTTTCATAAAATGCATTACGTACAGTCATACATTTTATTATCATCTATTAACGAGGATAAACTTCTTTTTTCGAAAACCACGATCCCACACCATTACAGTGTCAAACATAAGTTTACGTAATATTGAGAAGAAATACCACACAAGACAATACGAATGAAAAAAAAAAAAATGCACTTTTTTATTATTCGCTGAATTGATGTAAGCCTTACGAGTGAATGAGTGAATGAATCCCTATATGATGATTTACTATACAATGTCATTTTAGACATTCTACATGATATCGTCATTTCGCCACATATAAAACGCGCATATAATAAATACCGCATAATAGGTAAAAAAAAAAAAGAAAATTAAGATACCGTTAATAGCAAAATACCTTTTAAGGAGATGTCACCGTCCTGTTTGTATGAGGAATGCGAGATGCTATTATTACTAAGAACACTGAAAATTTTCTATTGTTGCTAGACGGATCTCTAATAACGATTCCTCAGTTTCATTTTACCAAAAGCCTCTTTCAAACCATGTTTCATTTGTTTCACATCATCCTTGAGTGTGTCCATCTCATTCTTAATTTGTTCGGAAGTAAAACTCTCATAATTGACCTCAATCTTGCTAAATATGGTTGGTTCGCCTACGTATTGTCCAGCAGCCAATTCTTTGGCTTTAATTATTTTGCTAATATTCTTCAATTGAAGCAAGCCAAGATCATCTCTTTTTGATAAAATAACCTTAAGAAATCTTCGGGGGACATCTCCATACGACTTCTTCAACGCGTGATAGTCTAGATGAACCATTTCTTGAGTGGTGCTTATAAAATTGTGGATCTTTGTGATTGGATCGAATTGTCTTTCCAGTTCATTTGGCCTAAGGTACATTCCAAAATATTTTTGTGCCACGAGAACGTCTTGATGCATGCGTTCGAGGCAACCCGGCATACAATACCTGGATCCCCTGTTTCCCATCGATTGAATGTATGCAATCACGAAGCGCTGAGCCATGAGAGACATCAACTTATTGAAGAGGTATGGTTTCAAGTGCATCTGACATTCGTCCGTGTAATCCTTAAGAGTGACGACTATAACCTCCATGTGATCTACTTTATTTCGTGTTGTTGAAGAATGCAACTTTCGGAACGGCTCTTTTAGATCGTCGAATATAATAGATAAAATGCTATCGATAACGTCAATGGAAAAATGAAGGTATCCATCCATCACACTCAAGAGATCTTTTTTTATCCTGACGAAATGTTCGCCTAATAATGCTGGTGTCAAACTCTTTGTCAGTTCATCAGCAAAGTCCGCAAAGTGGAGTTGATCGTTGGCCAGAGCGATAATGTATTCCAGGAGGCCACCGGGAAGCTCCTCTTTGTTTTCGAGGAATGATGCGAGTTCTGATTTTAACGTCCTGTTCCAAGCTTCCTGTACGTCTCGCATCACCTGGCAACCCTCGGTGATTACATCAGCCAAGATTTTCTCATGGGTGGACTCGATAGCCACATCAATTTGTTGATTAATCATATTAATCAGTATAGGTGAACCAGTAAGACCAAACATCTTGTTGGGGTCCTTATTCGGTTCCTCGATACGTTGTTTGAATTCTCTAATATCACTCTCCAACAGATTCGACTTCCACTCTTGGAATTTGCCACGCATCAAGCTTAGATAATCATCAACTAACGCCTGTTCCTGGCCGTCTAAAAGCTGTGGCTCCAACAGGTCTCTTGACACCTGCATCTCATTGACAACTATTGAGTAATACTGACGCACCCAGCGAATCAATCTTAATTTAGATCCCGCGTCTAGCTCACCTTGTAGGACGACATCCAACCAGAAGCGTACATTCTCATGATACGCCAGCACAAAGAAACAGGTTATGTTGTAATGCGCAGGAAATTGCAGTGCGATATGTTCCTTAACCAATTTTAGATCCCTGTAAACAAATTCTAATTGGTCAATCAATTGTGAAGGGAATTCCTTAACTTTATTTAGAGCAATTTCAAACATCTCGGTAACAGTGTCTCGCAACTTGATTAGAAATTGTTTCCTATAAGATTTAATGGCACGTGCCTCAGACTTCTTGGTGTACAGTGAATGCGCGTGCTGGGCAGAGCTATCAGCTTCTTCCTCACGCTCAATGACCATTACCAGTCGGGCGATGGCTGTCGATGCCTGACCATTATTAGCCAAGTGAATTATGTTTCTCGTCAATTGCCAAAGGTGAGAGTCGAACTCATCCGAGAGTTCGTTCAGAGGTCTGAAATAGGCCTCTAAGGTGTTGATTGTGTCTCGTGATGCGAAGCTTGCCTGACGCACCGTGTTATCTCGGGATATTTCGATTTCGGACAATTGAGAATGAATAAATAATAGATTATTTGCGGGACCGAGAATGTCACGCCTTTCCTGTTCCAAAAGTTCTTTTAATTGATTGATGAGTTGATGCAACAGTTGCACTTGCAACATCGTTTCTTGTGTTCCAACATTATTGTGATCGATTTGTGGAACCTGCAAAAGTGATAAAGAAAAAAAAAAAGTTTTTTTTTTTTTTTTTTAAAGGCACATTGTTAGATATTTTGAGATAATGTGGATTAAAAGGAATATTGTCATGAATTCCTGGCCGGCAGTCAGCCACAATTTTAACCTTGTTAATTTTGGAAAAACGATTAAGGGTGGGCTGTTGTTGGTCTGAAGTTGAATGATTGATAGTCTGCATGTTTTCCTTTTCGGAGTTTTCTTGTTTATTGTTTTTTCTGCCTGACCCAGAAGGTCTACCATTACCTTTGACTTGAGCATCTTTTTGCTTCTTTGCCTCCGTCGTCGATTTCACTTTGCGACCAATCTTAAGGAAGTCATGAGAATGTTTGAATATATTGCTTATCCTTTTCTTGTTAACTTTAGTTTCCGCGGGCGAATCCATTTTTATTTATCATTTACTTATTTATTTATTTATTTATTTTATTTGCCATTAATGTAGCTATTATTATGATTATGATTATTATGATTATTACGCTATTATTATTACTATTTTCGATATTTGCTACCGAAACTACCATTCAGCGTCACTAACTATTATCATCATCATTCGCCTTAAACCTTTTGACTTTTGGAAAGAAGTGTATTTGACGAACGAACTAACAGAATAGGAAAATGAATGAAAAGGTTGATAGGTTAGGAGGATGTATGAATAGTTTAACCTATTGTCAACAAGCGTTCATGTAAGGGGGAGGTGGAAGCAGGCAGTTATGTGTGTGTGTGTATGTGTGAGGGTTTTAGGAAAAAAAAAAAAAAAAGAAAGGAAAAAGAAATTGTACGTACCGTATCTGGCAGTGACATCGACGGTTGAAGGTGGTATTTATACAAAATTTCACCGACTGCCAAAAATCCATGTCAACGTTCTTGGCTTCGTGACACGTGATCCCATACCGAATGGGCAGATGTCGGCTGATTGGCCAACTACAAGGAGTTGAAATTTGGGTATTGTTTAATCTGCGAAAAATGTCATTCCACGTGCCGTTCCAAAAAAAAAAAATATTCGAAAACAATGACTTTTACTTTCATAGGAGCTGCGGAATTCAAATCGGGAAAAAAAAAAAGGACGAACGATCAAACCTAATACCATCCACCCAGGAAGCGACGAGAACAATACCAAATGCGTCGAAAATCATCCCACCTGATTATATATCGTGAAAGATACCGTATAATAGGATTATGCAAAGTTCCAAATACCGTTCGTGAAATATGGCAGACTCCGCCACCGGTCAAAAGTTTAATACATTTAAATGTTCTTTTGCTCAGAAAGAAAAAAAAAAAAACTTTTCTCCAAAGTTTATAAAGACTGCAGGCGTCACAGGAGGCGTTGCATTGTCATACAAACTCTCTCCCCTTGTTTTTTTCTTCTCTGTTGTAAATTCTCGCACGGCGCATGGTGTCCCGCCTAGCTGTCGCGTATTTCATATTATCCTGTGCCATTCAAAGAAACTTTCATTTGTCCTCCGTCATCCCTTGGCCCTCAAAAAAATCTATATAAAGGTCGAAGAGCAAGTTTGTAAAGCTCCCAAACTTTTTGACGCAGCTCAGCAACGTTCTCAAGTTTATCAAAGACGCTAGGAATTCCTCGAGCATCCTTTGAGCTTTATTATGACACTGTTCCGCGCTCTCTCATAACGCGCTGTAGAACTTAAACGACATATCTCATTCGAAGAGTATTGTATTAATTATTGTCCTTCTCCTTCGAGTCCAAAAAAGAAATAAAAGAAAATACAACTCAGAAAAAAAAAACATACACACAAACCATAATGACGACTTCCATCAATTCTAATGTTTTTGCACCAACCTCCGGTTATGACATGAAAGGATTACATGTGATAGAATTCATCACTAATGACCAACCTTACCCCATCGAAAAGGTATCTATTTCTCTCTCGTGAAAGGAAAGTTGGTTGTGCTTTTGTCCCATTTCTTATTTTTGCATCACACGTTCCATAGTTAATGGCAAAATTGGAAGAATTTCAATCGGTTTTCCAAGATGAGATTGAAGACTTCAGGTTTGTTTTGCATGCTATCAACAACACTCTACTCTCCTCGGCTGCGGTCTCTTATCTATTTTCCTCATTTAGTGTCGGATCATCCAAATGGCACTCGTCTCCTCCTGAGAAAGATGAAGATGACGACATCGAAGTCGAAGCGCTCGTGAAAAAGGTAAGAAAGGACCGAGTTGCGTGAAACCTCGAAACTCATCATTTATCCCCGAAAATTCAAAATTGCGACGCATTTATGAATACCACACTTGTAAAAATAAGACAATGATTATCAGAAAATTTTTCGTGAACTAGACCAATTTAGGAAATGCTGCGGATCATTATCTAAAACGCGTGTATATTCTCTATTTTCTTCTGAACAGAATGCCATGATCAAATCTGCCATTGAGAAAATAAGGAAAGCCACCGAAGAGCAAGAAAAACAATTACGAGATAAAGAAGAAGAATTGCAAGAACTCTACGAGACCATTGCAGAACTGGAAGAATTAGATGAAGAATTGGATGAGGTATTTTTCTCTCAAATATTCTGTGCAAAATGTCATTCTTACGTAAGATTCCTAAAGTTGTAAACTTTTGAATATTCACAAAAGGAAATTTATCATGATCAGCCTCAACCTCTTGTCAAATTTCGTAGAGCAAAGTAGGTATTTTTTCCGAAACTTTTAGAATTTCTTTGATCTCATCTATTCACACATTCTCCTTCGTTCGTAAAGGCGTCTCAGCTGCTTCTTTGTCATAATGTTGTTACCGATCTTGCTCGTGATTCTACTGGACGCATACATTCAGGCGAACTGCATGCCCTTCATCAATTGAGACGACTAAGGCAGGAAAACCGCCGAAATAAGCGTCCGACTAATCTGTACAAATTGAAGAAAAAAATTTTTTTTTAAAAAAAAAAAATTCAAAAAAAAATTCAAAAAAAAATGCACAAAACCAAAAAAAAACTACAAAAAAAATCACCAACAATTTCACCAAAGAAATTTGAACATTTGTAATATATATATCTCTTTATATCTGCATAGATGGACAGATTCTTGGAGGTTCTTTTTTCTTTATACTACTTTATTTCATTTTACTGCAAAGGTTTCTTTCGGTGTGGTTTACTCTCTCACCTGATAGACCTCCAAAAAAAAAAAACATTCTTTGTTTCCCTTTATCTCTCCCCACCTCTTAATGATTTTCACATTGACGCGTCATTTTTCTACTTCCGGAAGATTTTTTACAAACTGAACAATTTACACAAAACAATTCACACTAGCTAGTTTTTCATCTCTTTCGCTTATTGACCTTTCACTCAACTTTTCCATCTCAAAACATTCATATGACTTTATTAACGGCCGTAATTAAGAATTTATGCATAAATAGAGTAAGGCTCTTTATACCCTAAGAATTAGCAATTCATTTAAGATCCACCCCCAAAATTAATCATAGAGAAATTTACAGATGTTTCAAAAACGACCCATAATTTCCCGTTTTTCTGAAGATTGTAATTTCTTTTTAAAGTTTTTCACCTCATTATTTCTTTTTCAATCTTTTCTTTCTTAGTTGACACCTTGTATAGATGATTTTCTTGTACATTTTTTTTTTCCTACCAAAGGGTTGCATTATGTGTCACTCGTTATTTCATTTGGTTTCCTGAATCCGTTTCAAACAACCCATTATCTCTTGTTTGAACTAAAAAGGAAACCTCAAGGTTTTTCTTTCAACCTAATAGATTTTATCGTTCTCCTGTATGACACATAGCATGGAATATATGTATATATATACAGTATATAAGTTTCTTTTTTTTTTTTTCTTATCTATTCATCAACCCACGTGTGGTTCAAATTTTTTGTTTGATTGTGTGCGTTATCAAATCCCTTTTCTCGAAAGCCTTCTCTTATCCGATATCTCCCTTTGGTTTCGCAACGTAACGCGTCCATTAGTTGGATTTCAAATAAAAAAAAAAAAACAATTCTTTTCTCGGGATTTAAATAAGCATTCATCAGTTTTTCGCCTTTTTTTTTTTTTCGGATACATATTATTAGTCTTCTGACTTCGAACGCTATTTTCCATTTGACGTCAACGAACTTCGAAATTTTTATATTTCTTTAACCCTGGATTTAGAGCTTTAAAAACACACCCTTTATTATTTATCATTATTATTATTATCAATGTAAACCCAGAATTATGTGTCAACAGATTTGTTCTATGTAGCAAAAGATTGAAATAAGTAAATTTAAGTAAAAAAATCAAGGACTAGGAAAAATTGTATCTATTACATCGTTCTTTAAGTCAATGTTTGTTTTCTAAATGCGACCTCCCTTTTGCAAATTCTTCTAAAAAAAACTGTCGAAATCACATTCCACCAACTTGTTTAATCAACTTTTGCAGATTTAGATCAAACAATTCGCTACGAATTGGCATTTCGGGTGTATAAAAAGGATTTTTCATAACATAGTCGCTATAAATGTCATAAGCACGACGAAGCGTCGAATCGATGCTTGGTTGCGTTAGGTCGGAAAGCATCAAAAATTTCGTACCTATTTTCGAACTTGGTTAGCCGACAAGAAAGAATACGATACGATTCTGAAGACACAGTATATTAGAAAAACCTGTTAATGTCTGGAAACAGTGTAATTTAAAGGTATCGGCTTCCAATACTTCTAAACCCGTAGACGTTGAATTTTTGACCGGTGAAATTTTTGAGGTTATAGCGTGCACCCTGTCGTTTCAGTTTCTTAGTACTGGCATGATAGTTAAATTTCCTGCTTAAACACTGTTGACAATTAATTAATTACCCGTGGAAGGTACCCGCTAGAACCAAGTATTCATTTGAAGTCAAGTGCGCCAGTCCTTCATTGAAATCTTTTTGATAGATGAGTCCACCTGCTTTATTGATTATGTAAAGTGAAAAAATCATAGTAACGTCGTGTTTGGGAAGAAGGTGAATTATCAGGTATTACCATTTAAATCGAGGATAATAACAGTTTCAGTCACGTGATCTGGTGCAAATTGTGTGGCGGATTCAACCCATACGACATTCAATTGACTTTGATTTTCTATTTCACTTTTTTTAATCGATAATTTAAAATTTATTTATTAAATTAAAAGGTTTTCTTTTTCTTTTTTTGCTTGCCACGATTTCAGAATTTCACATCTCCTTCGCTAGTATCATTCAAGGATAATAATTCTATTTGACCTCTTCCTTTCGTTTCTTTTTCCAGTATTTCACCAATCACCCTATACTGTCCAGGATCAATCAAGAATATCTATGTACGTTAAATTAAAAAACGTTTATTGTTGCGTCTGATATAAGCTCTTCCCATCTTAGACTTGACCCACTTACCAATTCGCATTCATCTCCCCAGCTCTCATCTTCTGTATGCGCAATTAAAGGCGTCAACTTTTCCTTGACCTTCTTGGCTTCCTTAGAATTTGGCATTGTAATTCTTAGACGCATCTGAGCACGTGCAATTGGAATCGCTTTTTTCTCTTGAAGTTGTTTGATCACTTCCAATGCCTAGTTCATGATTCACGCAAGTTCCTTGAAACCATTTGCTAACAAAACTCCCAAAAGGTGATTATTACTCACCTGTGATTTCGTACTCTTATTCACATTCACTGAAAAATGTATCTCTACCATCGCCTTTTCAATCATGGTAACTGTGTGAGGTCGTTTGGTCTCAGGGTTTACACATTTTTCTGCGACAATCATAGCAATCTCACGATATGTATTATCAATTTGGTATGTTCGCTCTTTTTCACTGACTTGAAGTTCTCCTTTTTTCAATATCTATCCAAAAATGATCGCATTGCAGATGTTATTGCTTCGAAAATCATTTTTCTCGAAAAAAAAAAAAAGGAGACATAAATCCTCTACCTCTCCAACAATTTTATTCAAATCTTCTGTCTTAAATGCTTTTTGCAAATCGTCTTTTGGAGCCACCTGTCCTTTGGATACATTCAGGAACACATTGTTGATTTGAAGGACCTCATCCAGATCAGTCTCCCTATTTTTTAATCAGATAATTAGGAAACTGGATGCGAATAATGCAAAAAATGTGACACGACTAAATATGAAGGGAAACGTTCAAAAATAAGGAATCAAAAACTATTTACACTCCGTTTCTCCATTCTAAAACCTTATTTTTGTAGCAGGCAATTTCGAAACGCTTGCCACCTTTTCTTAGACGGACTATTGAAACATTGGTGAGTCTATATCATTTGTGGAAGAAAATGTGAAGTTAATTATCGTGCATGAAATTAGACCAATTTTTGTCATGAATTGTAAAAAAAAATTCCTCACATACTTTATCTGATTGCTCGGTTGGTTAATTGGCATGTTGTTAA